TCATCGGCTATATTAGCGGGAGAAGATGGTGTTCCTGCTGGTTTTGCCGCAGGCGGCGGAAATAGCTTTGAGTTTGGTGTTGATCCTAATCTTGATCCCGAACTTGCTTTGGTAAATATTCATAAATACAATGTTTATATATATAATCTAGTTTTGTTTAGTTCAATCAATCGATCAATAATATATAAATCAATTAACGAAATGAATAATCAATATATAGGCTTTACGTATTTCACTAGAAGAAGAGAAGACAGGAAGCTAAAGCAGCAGAGGTATCCACCACTTCAAATTCTAATCAAGAAGCAGAGTCATCAACAATGGCTATTGATCAAACAATCGGAGGAGGCAGTACTGATAAAGCTGAACTTAGTACAATTATTAACACAGAAAATCAAGTATGTTCAATTGATTTAGGGAAGCAAGGAGGAGAGGAGGAGAAAGAGGGTGATAAAGATGTATTTTTAAATTTTAATGGTGATAATGTTAATATTAATACTGTTGCTATTTAATAACAGACTGATGATGTACATATGGAGGAACTTACCGAGGATGAACAGATGGCTCGTGCATTACAAATGTCAATGCAAGGAGATGGTGAATCTGTAAGAATTATATTCATTTATCTTAACATTATTATTAAATTCTGACTATTATTAATAAGAATTATTTGGGGGGGTTTTTTTTTTAGAATGTTAAGATAACAACGGATGATTATAATGTTATGCAAGATCCAGAATTCATGAGTGAACTGCTTCAATCTTTACCAGGAGTTGATCCTAATGATCCACAAATTAGAAATGCTTTACAAGGTTACCCATCATCATCTACAAACAACGACAACGATAATGACAATGAAGAAGATAAGAAGAAAAAGAAGAAAGAGGAAGACAATAATCAATAAAATCATCATTATTATTTATTAATTTAGTAGTAGCAATAGTTATGGTGATATTATATTGCAATTATTATAATCAGTGTTATCATTCTTAGTTGTAGTGAACGAAATGCTAAAGCAATGTTATTTGATTTTTTCTCACAAAATAAAAAGGAAAAAAATTTTTTTCAGACAAAAATAATAACTCTTAAATCAATAATATTGCATGTATTAATTAAGTTTAAATAAATTATGTATATAGGTAAATGTGATGCATTAAATTTCACAATAGCAACAACGGTTGCGTGAATTGTTTTTAAAAAATAATTCATTCATTAATTTTTTAATTACAAATAAGAAACAATTTTCGTTTATTTAAAAAAAGATTTTTAAAAATTTGCAATTTATTGTTGTTGTTGTTGTTGTTGTTGTTGTTGTTGTTGTTGCAATTATCAATCTTGTTATGATTATTATGTTTGTTATTATCACCTTGATCTAAAAAATTTGGAAAATTTTGTTGGTGACGATTGCGTCCTCCTGATCTGTTTGAACTAGTTGCGATATTAAATTTATCAACCAGCTGTGAATTTAAATGTTTTTTGCATTTTAGAGCAAACTCTATACATAAATAAATATTCACATTTATACTCTTATATAATTTGAATACCTCATTGACACAATTTGTTCCTTTTGTTGACATTCATGTGATAAAGTGATTGCGCATTTAACCACTCAAAGAAATGCAATTAAGATGCTACATACCAGAATAAAACTTCTACATAAATATCTTGTTAATTCCAAGAATGGTAAGCAAAATCAATAAAATTTTGCTTTTTATTAGATAGATGGAGTTGTTAACATTTATTTATTTATATATTGATAAATAGATCCATCAACAGTAGATCATGATATTCTTCGTCAAATCGCTGGACTTTGTAATCGTTTACCAACAATAGATGGATCAGATTTCAATCAAGAGTTTTTAACAGTTAATTATCAAAA